TGAACTAGATTTTTTTTCATTTTTTAGCAACTTTAAATCTACTTTAAATATTTTTTATGATTTGGTTTTATCTTACTGAACAATACAAAAAAAAAGATATCAATTGGCTCTTTTAAACAATTCAATATGAAATTCAATTTATGTTTTTTTGATATAATTAATAAAAATAAATAAATTTAAAATTGTTTTTAGGGAAAATCAGAAATAACTCAATTTATATTGTGATATTAGAATAGAAAGTTTGTAACAAAATTGTTTATGATATTTCAATGATCATCAGAATAGTGAGACCTTCATTTAAATAATATCCGTACTTAGAGATGACCCGTTATTCACTGAATCAAAATTTATTAATAAATCTATTGAATATTCACTGGATTTTATTAATAAATTTCGATTCAGTGAATAACAGGTCACATCTCTATCCGTACTAAAAAGTTATTAACTCAAGGAAGCTACTGTTTCCTTTTCCCTTTTCGATTTTTAATTGCTCGGAAGAGTTTCTTTCTATAATCATGGTTAGTTAAAAAAATCATAGTAGATTGTGTAAATAATCAAATCAGAGAAAGTTGGGTATTTAATCTAGATGAATTGTCTTCAATTTTCTTGTAATATTTTTTTGGATGATTCCATTTTGACTAAATTTTTTTATAATGAATTCTTAAATAAAATCACTTTTAGGAAAATATTTATAAATTTGATAAAGAAGTAGAACGCCTTAGAAGCAAAATAAGTTCAGTAGCGATTTTGAAATTTGGAAAAATATTACAAAAGTTAGAAATAACCAATTTGAATTTGAATTCAATAAAACAATACAAACTTGAATACTAATAAATTAATTGTGATAATATCTTTTTATCTACTAATCTAACTATTCAAATATTTGCAAGTTTATAATTTTTGCATTATATTATGTTAAGCAGCAAAAATATATGAATCATAATTCTAACTTCTCTTTAATTTTTTTCATTAATGAGTTGTCAAATTTAGGCGTTTTATGATATGCTTCTTCATCGTTCAAAAGTTTTTTGAGAAATTTGTCATAATCATTATTAAAAGCTTTTTTTAAAAAGCTTGAATTAACACCAGATTTTACAAGAATTAAGGCCGGACATTGCATTAAATTTAATAATTCAATTAATTGCCATGTTGCATTCCAATACCTTCGTTCATGCCTTTCATCAATTTGTAAAATTGATTTAATTTTGTTGCTGACAAGTACACGTAAAGTTCTGAGGGGAGGGTTTCTTTTCTCCTTTTGTTCATAATCTGTTACGAATGCTACGATCAAACGTAGCAAAAGATCCTGAAATTTATATAACATTTTTAAATTTTTCTCTTAAACTTCGACCTTGAGAGACTTAATCATTTTATAGTGTCTATTCCATTCTTTAATGCAATTATCTAATAACTCAAAACTTTGCGAATAAAAAGGTAAGGGTTGAAGTGAAAAATGGATAACATCTTCATCGGGCTTAAAGAGGTGGTCAAGGTTTTCGGTAAGTAGTTTTTCGATCAAGTTGCTTTTAAAGAAAAGTTTGTCTCCATAGGTTTCAAATTGACAATGCTGAATACTTTCAAAGGTATTTTTTAGAAGCCAAACTTTATCTTTTTTGATAGTAGCTGTATAACAAATATAGCTATTAAATTGTGCTAAATATTGTTTTCGAATGCAATAAAATTTAAATTACTTAATTGCAGTTCCTGATACTTTTCTATAAATTCGTTATCTAATAATTTGTAAATTAGTTATTATAATGTGCATTAAGAATATTTGAAAAAAATATGTATTGTACCATCATCATTTTCTTGATAAGATATAGCTTCTGGTGTAGTTTCTTAAATACAATATAAATAAAGTTATAGAATTGTTTCTTAATTTAACTTATTTATAACAAATGCAGAAATTACATACCATTAGAATCAGATTTTGATGAAGTATATTGTACACGTTTTCTCTTCAAATATTTACTTTCTTTATTATATAACGTGTCTAGTGAAATTCTACATTTTTTACTATGTACCAATTCCTTCAATAAAAAAAAGGATATTTAGTTATTATAGAATAGAAAAACGTAATCTCTGCTCAAACTATTATTTAGAGACTTATACACACCTGCTTGTCATTATTCAATGAAATAGTTGGTGGAGGGTCAGTTATTAATACGATTGGATAATTTACGCTCGTGGTATTATTAATATTATTGCCTTTTGATGAGATATTGGTTGACTTTAATATAATATAAAATATTTAGTTAAAATATGATTCTAATAAATTTAGTTTAGGTATTTATATATTTGAATATTCTTGCCTTTTGATTCGATTGATTTTGGAGTTTGCAGTTATCACAATACAACCTTTCAGAAGAAATTTTTAGACTTCGAGTAAGAAAGTAACATTCTTCACACTCCGTTAAATCAGATAATTCTTCATTTTCATTAACACCATCTGGCTAAATTATTAATTTTGACCGTTCATTATTAATATCAAATTATGTAGCACTTCATTAACCTGAAAATATCGATAAGAACTTTACCTTATTATGAGAAGAAATTGAAGACATGCTCCTTACTCCAATATCAGCACCCTTTAAAGTAATATTAATTTAGGCAATTATTGTTATAATTTAATTATATCACAAGACCTCTTACATGAATGCCAAGGTCTGACTGAATCTCCTTTTCACTAATTCCCTTTTAGAAAATGTGTGAATATTTGTATTGAAAGAAAAAAAAGTCAAGCTGGTAATAATTGCTACTAACATTTCTATTACTATCTACATCATTTTCGACATTATTAAATTGTGAAAGGGCTGTTTTTTTACTATAACTATTGTTTCGCATTAGAGATGGCTTCGGGAAATTGTTTCATTAGTATGTAACAATCATTAATAAAATTAACTTGATTATAATATTTACCAATATTTCGCTAATGCTTGGTAAAGAATTATCTGTCAAATCTGAAAGAATGCGCTCTATGGAATCGTTATAATTAACCTTTAATTTGGAATAGTTTAAAATATTACAATTAACTACAATTAACTGTAAACAATATGATGTTAATGCATATTTATTCACCTTATTAGTTTTTGTTTTTTTTAAAGAATTAAACTTTTTATTGATTTTAGATTAGTTTTTTTTGATAGAGTCAAATCTTTGTTCTTCAGCTTCTTTGGCCGAATCTGAATACTCATCAGATAGTGAATTATTATATTGTAATGATTCCTTTAATTATTTAATATTTTTATTGTATAATAGTTTCAGTATATAGTTTTCAATATCACTTAATTTTTCAATTAGTAATTCACTAAGTGCAGTTTTAACCAATACTAATATTCTTTTTTTTGACTTGACTATATAGTTATACAATTGTAATTTACCTGAACTTTAGATTTCAAAACTTGTGCTCTGTTCTCTTGATTTTTTTTGTTTGCATTAGAAGGGTCCTAAAATTTTTTTATTTTAATACTAAAAGTGACATATATATTAAAGTTGATAATAAATACTTAATGCATACACTATTTTTTTCATAGTTTAAAGTTTGTTCTACAGAAATAGATGCGCCTGTATCATTTGAAAGGTTTGATCCTTTAATTGCATTGTCTTCCTCTATATCAAAGCTAGAGCTTTGAGCTGCACTTTCTTCAATCGTTATTTCTGATGTGTTTAATTGCGAATTACCAGTAGATTGTTTCTTAAAATTTTTTATATTGATATTACCTAATAATCCTTTTTTGATTTGAACGCCTAGTTATTAATTTACCTGAAAATTAGGGTTCAAAACTTGATTTTCATTTCCTTGATCCTTTTCGATTGCATTATATGATTGGTCCTAAAAATTTATTTTTGTTACTAAAAATAAGAGATCTACTATATTAAGTTGCTATACAAATTATTAATAATTATATCGCTTTCTTCATAGTTTAATGGATATTTAAGAATATTCGCAAATATAAATTTTGTAGCAGGAAAAAAATGCTCAGATATCAAGACCCAAATTTTAAAAGAAATAATTGAATATAAATAAGAAAATTCCTCACTTGATTTTTTTTTGAAACTTTAAAACATTTATTTATTTGTAGTTTTTCTGTCTGTTGATCTGTTTTTGCAACATCGGATTCAATTATATTTGCATTTGCTTGGATACCATCATCGATTTCCTTTGTTTAAAAAATAATAAAATAAGTAAATAAATGACATGCTTATTAATAAAAACTTAATTAGTGATTTCCCTCAGACTCAGATTTTCAAGTTTTTATTTTGAAAGTATTAAAAAATATCGATTATTTAAGGTACCTCCTTGTAAATTGCAATAGAACTTTTTTCCGCTAATTTATTTCTTATCTTTCTATAATTATTTTTGTTTAACAGAACTGCTTCTGGTTCATCCAAAATTATAATTTTACTAGTGTCATTATCTAAGACAACTTTTGCTAACAGCATTGGGTCATCAAAAGTGATATTAACAACTTTTCCATTAGTCGCCTTCCAAATTAGTTTAATTGAGGCTCTAATAATCTCTTCATTGTCCTCTATAGTTTCAAACATTGTTTTTAAAGATAAAAGTGCAGGTTTTTTGACACTAGCACAAAGTATTCTAGTATGTTTATATATATTTTTATTTTCAATTTTACTATGATCACATCAAACTAATAAATTGATGTCGAGTCTCTTTGATTAAAAATTTACTAATGGTGATGTCTTAAATTATAATTAATATTTTTAGTCACTATATAAACATGACAATTTTAAAATACGTTGATTAAAAATTTAG